CCCGATGCGGGACTCGATCCTGGGACTCCAGGATCATGACCTGAGCCGAAGGCAGTCGCTTAACCAACTGAGCCACCCAGGCGCCCCTAAATAAATAAAATCTTAAAAAAAAAAAAACTTCTCTTCAGTAGGCATCAATCCCTAACAAAAAGTAGTTAGAAACTAATTTTGCTTTTGAGCAAAATTTTCAACAGTTCTTCAGATGACATAGGTGGCAACAGTTAGCCAACTCATAAAGTTTGTCATTTTTATCTTATACTCTATTGCTTCAAAGAAAAAAATATATGAACAACTATTCCCAAGGGATTGAGCACTTCCTTCGTCTTTCCCATATGCCCACCATTGCACTAGGCATGGATAGTTACAAAAGAAAGAAAATATTACACCAGAATTGACACAGGCTCTAAACAAGGGTTTGTTTTCCCTGACTGCTTTATCTCCACCGGCACCATCATCTGAGGGTTTATAGGATGCCTTATCCATTAGACATACCTTAAATCAAGGAACCCACTTTATGGTCAAGGAGGTCTGACAATGAGCTTGTAACCGCAGAATTCATGGTGCTTACTCATCACCCAGAAGCAGCTATCCGGTAGAACTGTGGAATGGCAGGGGCACCTGGGTGGCTTAATTGGTTAGGTCTACCTTTGGCTCATGTCATGATCCCAGGGTTCTGGGATCGAGCCCCGTGTCGGGCTCCCTGCTCAGTGGGGAGCCTGCTTCTCTCTCTCCCTCTGCAGGTCCCCCTGCTTGTGCTCTCCTGCTCTCTCTCTGTCAAATAAATAAATATAATCTTAAAACAACAACAACTGTGGAATGGCATATTGAAGACTCAGCTCAATTACAACCTGCAAAGTTGGGGAGCTGTCCTCTAGTATACAGTATTTGCACTGATACTCATTGAACCGATAACATATATATGATATTTTGTCTCCAGTAGAAAGACTAAGTGGGTACAGGAACGAAGGGGTTGAAACAGGAGCAGCCCCTATTACTATCATACGCAGTAACTCACTTGTGGAATTTGTGCTTCTTATCTCCAAGCCCAGAGTCTTCTGGGTTGTGGTTCTGATTTGCAGGAAGAACATTTCTTCTAGGAGCTACATTAAATATTCCAGTGAACTGGAAAGTGAGAATATCACCAGGCCACTTCAGGTTCCTTGTGCCGGTAGATCAACAGGCAAAGAACGGAGTTATTATAAAGGCCCCCCACAGTCTCTGCCACACACGCTACATAAATACAAAAACATACCGGCCATCTGCATTCAATAACTTACCTTCCTGAACCTTTTAGGCACTTTAGTGTAGGAATGAAGGGGGGCGGGTGGTAGGGATGAAAGGGAGAGGGCAGGGTTTAGACAAGAAAAACAACGCATAACAATGTAATGGCTCTTGGAGATGACTTGGAACAGTGGAAGGAAATTTGAGGAAGTATGTAGAGGAAGAAGTTCTGGGACTACAAGGTCTTCAAGGAGGACCATAGTTTAGTGAGTCAGCCAGTGATTAAGAAGGAAAAGATCTACTCAAGTGGTTTATTGAAGAGTCAATGGGGAAGTGGAAGAAAACAGCGACAACCACAGCAAGGT